AATAATAATTTATTAAAAACAGTCTAAATGAAAATAAGAAATAATAGAGATAATAAGAATTATTATTATTATTGTCATTTTAAAACAAATTTAATGAAAAAGAAAAGTATTATTTATCATTATATTATTATTATTATATAGTATATTATATAATAATATATAAAATAATCTAGTATAATAATTAGAATAATATGTTGAAAACAGTCTAAATGAAAATATGAAATAAGTGTTATAATCATTATCACAATGAAACAAACTAAATTAAATAGATAAATATTATTTATTATTATAAGACAATTATATAATATTATATTATTAAATAAAATAATATATTAAATAATTATTATAATATAATAATAATCACATACTTTTGGTCAAAATTGTTATTATTTTTAATTAAAATAAAAGTTGGCGATGCAGTGGCGCAGTAGGTCGCTGGTTCGAACCTCGGCTCAGTTGGCGTTTCTGTGTGGAGTTTGCATGTTCTCCCTGCGTTCGCGTGGGTTTCCTCCGGGTGCTCCGGTTTCCCCCACAGTCCAAAGACAAGCGGTACAGGTGAATTGGGTAGGCTAAATTGTCCGGTGTGTGTGTGTGTGTGTGTGTGTGTGTGTGTGTGGATGTTTCCCAGAGATGGGTTGCGGCTGGTATATAAAATATTTTTTTATTGAATTGTTTTTCCCACACAGAGATATTGCCAAGAATTCCCTCCTGACGTGGCCCACCTTCATCTACTGGACGTTTCTGGGGGTCTTCGATGCGGTGGTTTTCTTCTTTGGTGCTTTCTTCCTTTTCGACAACACAACCTTCACCAGCAACGGACAGGTACCGCACAGCCATCCCTTTCTCTCACCACCATTTTCTGTCTGTGCGTTTCCTTTAATTGACTTAACCAACTTGTTGTAGCCGTTTATTTCTTCCTCAGTCAACTAAAGCAGTCACATACAGACCGAATGGGGTTTTCTATGCTTGCTATATTTGTAGTTAAAGTGGTTCCAGTGCTTGTAATGTGGTTTATAACTGAGGTCTCGTCCTCCTCTTTGCGTATGTTTGAAGTCATTACAGGTGCTTCTCCATTCATTTATGCAACACAAAGCATGCTGGGTAATCAGTCAGACCAGACATCTTTCTCTGTGCCATTAAGTTAAATCATAGTAACCTTTTTGGATTGCTTTTTTTTACCTGTTTGATTTACTTTAAGTTATAACATCCTAATTTTTTCTTTACTTTCTTGCTCCCTGTCCCCTCCCTACCTCCCTCCTCTTCTACTTTTCTTTCGTTTTCTTCTCTTCCTCTCAATCTTTCTCCTTTTCTCTCTCTCTATTCCTCCTTTTACCTCCCTCCTTTTTGCCTTTCTTTTCTTTTCTGCTTTCTTCCTTTCCTCAGCTAATGGCCACCAACACACAGATGGTAAGCCTGTCCCTATCTGTTTCTCATCCTGTTTTTAGTTTGAGGCTATGTTTACACTAGTGCGGTTTCCTTTTAACACGGCACATTCAAATCAACATGATCCTAGTCCATACTGGCGTTTCAGAAAATATCCCTATCCACACTACACCACATGACGGAAATCTTTTTCAGCATCAAAAACTAATATTACCAGCGTTTAAAACCTAAAAATATGTACAATTGCTAGAAAAAAGTATGTGAACCTTTTGGGATTACTAAGCTACAACAATGAAAAAACACAATCTACTTAATACCACACAAACATTGTAAACATTTAATAACATTTAAAACATTTGAAAAGTTATTTGAACGCTTCTTTGGCTGCAATAACCTCAAACAAGCATTTCCTGTAGTTGCAGATCAGACCTGCACAACAGTCAGGAGGGACTTTGGACTATTCATCTTTAAAAAACAGTTTCAGTTCCATAATATTCTTAGAATGTATGGTGTGAATCGCTCTCCTGAGGTCATGCCACAGCAGCTCAATCAGGTTGAGTTCAAGACTCTATCTAGGCCACTCCAGAAGGTGTATTTTCTTCTGTTGAAACCATTCTGTTAAAATAAAATCCAAGTTATACCAAAGGCAATTGTATATACAGTTAATATACCAAGCACAAATAATTGTGGCATTATAAATAACATCGCCAAATTTATTTAGAGTAAACAAATGTTTAGATTTACAATTGCTACATACAGATATTGTAAGACATCATACTGTTAAGTGTTTACTTATATTTATGTAAACTCCACATAAACACTAAACCTTGTGGTGTTTAAAACTATGTATTCTTTTCTAATTTTTTTTATTTGAGCATGCGTTAGATAAATGAAACAAATTTCAGCTTGTGGTCATGTGACCAGGGCTTTATTAGGAAAGGTTCCGCAATGATCCATAAGAACCAATGAGGGAGGGACTTTGTGCAGCCGTACTTTTGAAAGTAGTGCATAACAATATTGAGTCACTCCCTAAAAAAGTAACTAGCTGCAGGTTAATGAAAGTTGAAAGCAATGTGTTTGCTGCTTTTGTATTTTTTGTCTTATTAGTTCAGTAAAATCACTGTCCAGTTGTTGAGACTATAATGCCCTCTTCTTCCAAAATAATGAGAGTACTTCTTTTACAGAAATGAAAGGCTCTGCCATCTTGGTTTCTGTCTGCTCCCGCGGGGTGCTGATTAATTCTCTCATTGAGTGCGATTCAACATTATTATATTTATATTAATTCAGCTAATTATTTTTAATTATCTAAAAAGTGACTTGAGTTACATTTTTAAAAAAGTAACTCAAATATTATTACTTAATTTTTTAAAGTATTGCGTTACTTTACTTACTTAGAAAAGTAATATTATTACGTAATTCACGTTGCTTATAATGCGTTGCCTCCAACACTGCTTTTGAACTAATTGCTTTGCGAAATGATTCGCTGTTTTGAAATGTTCAAAACATCACATGCTAGGGACACCTGCTGGACAAAATTGTGTAAATGCAATTAAAAACTCAAAAAATTTAAACAGCTTCAATAGCAATTAGCCAATCATCTATTATCGTCAAATAATATTTGTTCTTTTATTAATTATTTTTATTAAGGCTTATTTTGTATGTTCGATGATACTATCTGCTTTACAGACCTATACAAGACTAATAACAATTACTATTTTTATTAATTTGAGAAATGTCGCATTAAAGTGTCTACAAACTCGTAAAATATGTTCAGTGATTCGCCACTGGGGGGTTATTATCATCTCAGTGAATGCACATATTTCATGTTGATTTTATAGTTTTACAGAGTTGAAAAAGTCAAAATAATCAGCACACTGCCACTTTTTCTCTCAATACTAATTTAATTGGACAACGTTTTAACCTACAAGGTCTTCATCGGGTCAATTTGTTAGTTTCGTTTCACAGAGATGGTCGTCAGCTGGAGTAAAAGGATTGAATTTTGTTTCCATTTGTTTTGAAGCACTTATGACATAACAAAGTCCCGTATATTGAAATCCTGTAGTCTTGGTGATTTGATAAGCACTCCGAAACACTGATTTGGAAATGTAGCGTTTTGGTGCCGTCTACACTGAAATGCAACCTCAAACCGACCGAAAATTCTGGTGTAGTGTGGAAGCCCTGGTTAAACCCTTATAGTAAAAGCTGTGCATTTTAAAAGGAAAACACACTAGCGTAACCGCAGCCTTGTTTTACTGTTGCCCTCTCAGCCCCGCCCCTCACCCTGAAGCCACGCCCACTCACATCTAGTGTCCACTAACACTAATGATTGGCTCGCTGTCATTGATGGTAGCTGTGCGACGAGCTGTAGCCGTAGAGTCATTCCCTCTGTCTGTCATCGTGTGATGGAGTAGGAGTTTGTGTTCGTACCGTGTGTCTCGTCAAGACTGTATGTGTGTGGTTTTTTTTGGAGGGTTGCCGTCATGCTCATCCTCATCGGCCCATAGGAAACACGTCCATCCTCTCATCCCTCACTCAAGGGCAAATGAACAGGCTGGAGGAAATGGGGGATGAAACATTTCCATTCATTTCACACTGGTTAAACGTAGAGGAATCGGTCCAGGATTTGGAAGGGATTCTGATGGCTTTTTCCACAAATAGGGTGTCCCGTTACATTTTTAGCAAACAGTTGGAACTTTAATTATGTATTTATGCTGTATATTTACAGTTGAAGTCAAAATGACAACACAGGCTCATTCTGAAAGCGTAGTCCTATATAGATTTCTGGAGATTTGTAGCCAGAGGAACGTCTTTAAAACGAACGCTACGGGGCAGTATGACGACGTTCATTTTCACGCTTACCAGCTGACCTCTTACCTCAGTGTGGTCGTCTTTTTCACTTTAACCAGTTTGTCCAGTGGCTCGCCGCGTAAGTAGGCGGACTTGAGACAAGGAGAGGAGTTGACCATAACGACAAAGTTTGAGTCTAGCGAAGAACGATTACAGAAATCAGACAAAAATAGATGCCAAAACTAAAATAAACAAGTAAATAACAGGGTGAGATTGTGTTAAAATCTGAAAACATTAATTTAGGTGAGGGCTTTTCTTTTTCTGGATTGCCCACTGTCGGTTGGGTTCAGGCAATTGGGCGGGCAGATCAATCGGTGCTTTTGAAGACACCATTTGGTTGGGTTTAAGAAAAGAGGAGGGGGTCAGTCGATTGGTCAGTCAGTCAGTCAGTCAGTTGACTGTGGCCTCTGGTGGATTTATGCAAGAACAGCAGGCACAAATGGAACTCGCGAGAGAAATTTGAGATCTGAAAAAATTTACACAGCGGCCTCTGGTGGATTTAAGCAAAAACAGGTGCCACGAATGGCACTAGCAAGAGAAATTTGAGATCTGAAAAAGCGTACACAGCGGCCTCTGTTGGATTTGTGTAAACAAAAATTGGAAAAAAAACAGCGCTCCTAGGATGTATTTGGTGATCTCCAGAAATGTATACAGGGGGTACGTTATAAGAATGAGCCTGGGTTGCAACACGATTAGCCTTTTTTTTTTAGTTGCTGTTTAACAGAGAGAATTTTTTCAACACATTTTTAATAGTTTAAATAAATAATTTCTTTTGTCTTTGTCATCATGAAAGTAATGTTTTAGTTATTTTGAAAGATACTAGTATTCAGCTTAAAGTGCTATTTAAAGGCTTAAGTACTGCAGGTTAATTAGACAACATTGGTTTGTTCTGTAACAGGAAAAAAAATCTTAAAGGTATATTATAATATATAATATATTTTTACATTAAATAAAAAATACATCAAAATAATATAAAAATATATTAAAAAACTTTACACAGTTTTGATATTTATTTATTTATTCATTAGAAAAGTTATTTATAAAATAAAACAAATGAAATAAAAACTATTACTATTATTAATTTAAATGTCTATTTCATTTTAATAAAGAATAATTGATAGAAAAACACTCAAATCTCTTTAAGTGTCACTGCAGGGTTGTATAAAATAAATAAAAAGTAAATAAAATAACATAGATTTCAATCTGCCTCCTTGATGATTAACACTAAGAACACCTTTTTTTCCTCTCACCATTGTTTAGATTTGGTCTCTTCATTTATCCTATTTGTGGTAAATAGCAGAAAAAACAGAATCTCCTTTCTCTTTTTTTTTCAGCTGAATCATCAAATTTGTAACATAAAAAAAAATCTTACAACATCCTTACAAAAATCATTTGCCCTTGACATGTTATTTTAACACTAAATCCATTTCAATTGCACATCAAGGTAAGTCAATGCATTTCCTTCAAACCTGTTGACATCTATCGTGTGTCTTTGTGTGTTCTTTTGTTTAAACCAGTTACTGAACTTATCAACGTTAAATATATTGTTCAACATTATAAAAGCAGTCAGTGACAGTCAGCCTTTGACCTTCTTGTTGATTTTGATTCGTTGTTTTGAAGGTAAACATCCAGTGATAGTATAAAGAGCTTGTATTGTATTGTGGATGTTGTTTTTGCATCGTGTCATCAGCAGCGCGGCCCGTCGGTTTCTAGAAGAGAAATCCATTGTGTTTGAATTCATCAGTTTGCCAAGATTTTAAACAATGAGGCATCAAATACAGCAAAAAACAGACACACGCAACACCCAGCAGAGCTTTACTGAGCCTCAGCGCTAATGCTAAATCCATTACAACATGCTAATGTGCGCTCTAAGCTCACTTTTTATTGATGATGCTTTTACAGATGAAGTATAAACCACGTGTGACATTAGTAAAACACTGCTGGATGACACTGAAGTGCATTTATTTACAGCACTATGAAAATAATGATGTAATGCAATTGTTTCTTACCAATTGAGATTGAACATTTCAGGAATGTGCTGTGAATAATTAGGGATAAAGTTGAGACCCTCTATTGTGGGGTCTACATTTATTAAAAATGTACAAATGCCATCATATTGTATTTGTAAAGGTCTCCTTTAATGTTTCAAATGACTTTTGTGCAAAATATGGGTGAAAAATACACTCACCGGCCACTTTATTAGGTACATCTTACTAGTACTGAGTTGGACACCATTTTGCCTTCAAGTGCTGGCTTAATCCTTTGTGGCATAGAAGGTACTGGAAACATTCCTTAGAGATGTTTGTCCATATTGACATGATAGCATCATGCAGTTGCTGCAGATTTGTCTGCTGCACACATCCCAAAGGTGCTCTATTGGATTGGGATCTGGTGACTGTGGAGGCCATTTGAGTACAGTGAACTCATTGTAATTTCAAGAAACCTGTCTGTAATGATTCACGCTTTATGACATGGTGCGTTATCCTGCTGGAAGTATCCATCAGAAGATGGGTACACTGTGCTCATAAAGAGATGGACATGGTCAGCAACAATACTAAATTGGTACTAATGGGACCAAAGTGTGCCAAGAAAATATCCCCCACACCATTACACCACCAAAACCAGATTGATTTATTGATAAGGCAGGATGGATCCATGCTTTCATGTTGTTGATGTCAAATTCTGACCCTACCATCCAAATGTTTCAGCAGAAATCGAGACTCATCAGATCAGGCAACATTTTTCCAATCTTCTATTTCCAGTCTTCTGCTTCTGTAACTCATCCGCCTCAAGGTTGGACGTGTTGTGCGTTCAGAGATGCTCGTCAGCAGACCTCGGTTGTAATGTGTGGTTATTTGAGTTATTGTTGTCTTTCTATCAGCTTAAACCAGTCTGGCCATTCTCCTCTGACCTCTGGCATCAACAAAGAATTTATGCCCACAGAACTGCCGCTCACTGGATATTTTCTTTTTTTCATACCATTCTCTGTAAACCTTAGAGATGGTTGTGCGTGAAAATCCCAGTAGATCAGCAGTTTCTGAAATACTCAGACTCAGCCCATCTGGCACCAGCAATCATGCCATGTTCAAAGTCACTTAAATCAACTTTCTTCCCCATTTAGATGCTCGGTTTGAACTGCAGCAAATCATCTTGACCATGTCTACATGCCTAAATACATTCTATGTGATTGGCTGATGAGAAATTTGCATTAACAAACAGTTGAACAAGTGTACTTAATGGGCGAGGCAGTGGCGCAGTAGGTAGTGCTGTCGCCTCACAGCAAGAAGGTTGCTGGGTCGCTGGTTCAAACCTCGGCTCTGTTGGCGTTTCTGTGTGGAGTTTGCATGTTCTCCCTGCCTTCGCCGTGTTTCCTCCGGGTGCTCCGGTTTCCCCCACAGTCCAAAGACATGCGGTACAGGTGAATTGGGTAGGCTAAATTGTCAGTAGTGAATGAGTGTGTATGTGTGTGAATGTGTGTGTGGATGTTTCCCAGAGAGGGATTGCGGCTGGAAGGGCATCCGCTGCGTAAAAAACTTGCTGGATAAGTTGGCGGTTCATTCCGCTGTGGCGACCCAGTATTAATAAAGGGACTAAGCCAACAAGTAAATGAATGAATAAAAGTGTACTTAATAATATGGCCGGTGAATGTATGTTTGGTTCAATCGTCATTCAACATTAAAAAAAAGTAATATTAATGTAAAAATTACACAACTTGCATATTAAAATATAAAGCATTTTAACTTGCAATTAATCGTATTCAGTGTAATAATAATACACATGTAAAATAGTAAATTGACATTTGAAATCTAAAATAAATACATTAAATTAATAATTACATTATATTTAAAATAAATGGATGAAATCTTTTATAGCACAATATTTGTTTTCTTATAATGTACCTAAATGTATACATTCATGCAAAGCTTTAACCCATTATGGTCCGTCTGTCTTCTCATGCTACTTTAATAACATTAGTCTAATATTTCTTATACAGCTTTTCTTATGTGCTTATATTTTAAAATAATATTTTGTTTTTGCTTTTTGTTTTGTGAGTTAATGCTCATTATTTTAATAATAATAATAACAACAACAATAATCATCATTATTATTATTATAAATTCAAAGCAAGTATATGCAGATCAGAACTGTAAAATAAAGTGCTTCTTGAATTGTTTATAATAAGGCAGAACATTGTTTACCATCATAATGCAGTGTGTTTTGTAAAGTTGTTCACTACCACTCGAGAGGCTGTTGGTACATCTGTGTCAATCTCTTTTTGCCTTTTTCACTATTTCTCTGTTCCAGATGTTTGGAAACTGGACTTTTGGCACTCTTGTGTTCACTGTCCTGGTGTTCACGGTCACGCTAAAGGTAATAAATCTGAAACTGCATGTGTTATGATCATGACCGTTGTCATCCAGTGTCAGTTTAACCAGCTGTATCTCTTTTTCTCTCTCTCTCTCTCTTTCTCTCCCTCTCTTTGTGTGTGTGTGTGTGTTTTAGCTTGCACTGGACACACATTACTGGACGTGGATCAACCATTTTGTCATATGGGGCTCTCTGCTTTTCTATGTCATCTTCTCCCTGCTCTGGGGAGGCATCATTTGGTATGTTTTTATATCACGATTGTCATCCTTAAGACATTAAGGGACAGATTTACTAACAATGTAAATGGAAACATATTTTTACTGTTACTATTGGGATTCACTGAACAAAAACTATTTCCCTCATCATCATTTGGCTTCTTCTCATTTACTAAAATGTCAATATTCTGTTTATAGCTGTTAATAGCTGTAATAGCTGTTTGAAACCTAGAGGTTTTGCCTCGGTCACATTAGAGTTTGAGCTTGCGAAATTCTGTTGTACAGCACTGTGAAAAGGGGCGGAATTAAACAAGATGATTGGACATTTTAAAAAGCGAGCGATTGGTCCATGCTATAAATTTCTGTCCAGAGAGGTCATGTTTTGATCTTCGATTGATCTCACGCAATCAGATAATGGGATTTCACAGGTTAGAGTTCACCAAGCTTAAACTTTCAAATGCAGTGAACTGTGATACTTGTCGCATTCACATGCGTATGAATGGAAATCTATGAGGAGAAAAGCCTTGAGGACGGCTCACACTGTGGGATTTTTTATAATCCTGAATGATTGTTGCATGTCAGAGTGCACGAACATGGCTTCCATGTCACACTGTAAGATCTCAGCTGTCATAGAGTCAGACTGAACGACAATGAAGACGTGGCAAACACTAAAGAAAACACCCCCAGAGTTTGACATCATCCACCTGTGACACTTTCACTATCTCAATTCCTGAAATGATACCTCACAGCAAATGTAAACAATCTGTAGCAGCAATTTTGCAACACAGCAAGTCTCAATAATAAAACCAGGAAGAAAAACACTGTTTTGACACTTCCCCGCGGTCATTTGAATTTTCTAATGGATTGCGTCATCATATTCTGCGCTCCTATTGGTTCTTGGATTGACGCTCATCCCAGCTGTTGTCACACTGCAGGAAAGTGTCGAAATCTTCTGACACTGCCAGAACTTTATCAGAGGAAAAATCTGATCGCAAGGGGCTGTCAGTAAACATGTCAAACCCACGATCAAAGATAATCGATTTTAGCCTAGGATTTTAGGAATCTTTTAGGATTTCCCAAATTTGTCTCAGATGACAAAATCGTGGCGGAAATTCCAGTGTGAGCAGGGCTTTATTGACAGAATAAGAAATTTTATACATATCAATTTAAGCATAGTTATTGTGAAAAGAAAGCTTTTTTTGACTTCAGTAATGTAGACTAAAGTAATTGTATCTTAATGAAGGATATTTAGATATTTATACAGGACAATGACCAAAATACACACACGCGCACACACACACACACACACACACACACACACACACACACACACACACACACACACACACACACACACACACACACAAATAAAAAAACCTGTTGCCTATAGCTCATAATTCATGGGTGTTTTATTTACCTGTTTATTAACGGTTTGGAATTCCATTATGGGACCTTGATCGCTGCTCTAAAACTAAAACAATGTATTTTCTTTTTCAGTTATAGTATACAGTGGTGAGAAAGTGTTGCCTTTTACTGGTTTCTTATTTTTTTATACTGATTTTTGATAAATTGCAATGAGTCTATTACAACACTGCAGAGGAATTTTGTCCCTCTCATCTTTGCAGAATGGTTGTAATTCAGCCTCATTTGAGGGTTTTTGATCATGAACCACCTTTTTAAGGTCTTGCCACAACATCTCAATTGGATTCAGGTCATGACTTTGACTAGGCCACTCTATTAATGTATATACAGTATTTGTGTGCTAAAACTCTAAATAAAGGAGGCATTTTTGAAAAGCAGAGTTACATTTTCAACATCAAAATTTAGCAGATAGAAGGCCCCATAATGCAATTCAAAAGTGTAAGTAATCATTATTAACCACAGAATACTTTCTAACAGATATTAACAGATGTTTTATTAATGTGGAGGAAGTAGATATTTTTTCAGTGTGCTAAGTGCTTACTTCATTTGTAGGAGTTTCCCTTTCAGACATAAAATATATAAGAGAAAATTCTTCGAGCATGATTTACTAAGGTTTGTGCTGGTCTGTTTACTGGAATTGGCTCCATTAAATGCCCTACGAAGCATCTTTATGTATCACCCATTTTGCACTTGTCATCATGTAACAGATCAGAGATCACATGGCAGACTATTCAATAATACACATAATATAAAACTATTCAAACATCACTTGTAATATACACTGCTCTATAAATAGATCACTTGCAGATCTTTCAACTCCCATTGGTACGTTTGTGAGGATTGTGCTAATTTGCTTCTACTTTTCCATCAAGACTAATTAATGCACTGCTTTTGTGTTGTTTCCAGGCCTTTCCTCAACTATCAGAGGATGTACTACGTGTTCATGCAGATGTTGTCGAGTGGTCCTGCGTGGCTCAGTATTATTCTGCTCATTATCGTCAGTTTGCTGCCTGATGTGCTGAAGAAAGTGCTGTGCAGAGCTCTGTGGCCCACAACCACTGAGAGAATACAGGTACGACACACACGTCACACTGCCTACATGTGGAGATACAGCTGACAGATGAGTCTGGACTGATAGAACAGCTGTATATTCAAAAGGAAATCATGGAAAGTGTCATGACTGTTAGTTTGGGGAGATGCCATGCTTAGGTTGATGAGCAAGAAATTTTCTTAAGAACTTTGAGGGAAAAAATATAATTTTTTTATTGTTTCAAATCATGTCTGAAGTTTTAAAGTGTTTTTAACTGGCATCCATATGAAAGAAATAAAATATTTTTTCCTTTTCTAAAATGTTTGTTCCATTTTAGTATTATTTTGTGCATTTGTTACTTATAAACTTATGTTAGTAATTCATCATTAACTTCTTTCAGTCCAGCATTTATCTTTTTAGATTTTGGTGTTAGTATTGTTTTTGTAGTATCCGTATTGCAGTTATGGTGGCTTGAGAAGGCGAAAACACTTTTATACTACATAAACTTAATATTTTTCTTCCATCTTCTTCCTATTCTTCTTAGACTACTTTAAGAACGCATCTCCTCCTAGACCGTTCATACTACAACCACCAAACTGTCCAAACCTCCAAACTTTACTGAATTAAATTGCTATATCTTTTCCAACTCATCTGACTTACAGTTTTCCCAAAACTGACCCGGAAAATTCAGAAAATTCCCATTACCTTAACAGTGTACCATACAGACTGAAGTTTGGGCTCATTTAACTCAGACTACCGAACTGCCAATCACTGATGACCTTTCAACTTACTAGCAACTACTAACGGCACCGTAGCAACTGTCCCTTAGACATCTATTGTGAAAAAATGCTATTGACTTTACATTAGACATAATAACAACATACCAATTTGTACTAGAAACATACTATCAACATGCTAATTTATACTAAATTTCATGCTAACAACATGCTAGTTTATACTAGAAACATGCTAGCAACATTCTAATTCATACAAAAACCATGCTAATGCATGTTAGTAACTGCCTAGCAACTACTTAGAACACCTTAGCAACTGCCTAACAACACCTTAATAACCACCTAGAACACCCTAGTAACCATCAAGCAACACCTTACCAACCAAATAGAACACCTTAGCAAACACTCAGAACACCTTAGCAACCACCTAGCAACCCCTTAGCAACCACTGAGAACACCTTAGCAACCAACTAGGACACCCTAGCAATCACCTAGCACTGGCTATATCAACACCTTATCAACAGCAACTAGCAGTCCTAGCAACCACTCAGAACATCCTAGCAACTACCTAGCAATGCCTTAGCAATCACTCAGAACATCCTAACAACTGCCTAGCAACACCTTAGAAACAACCTAGAAGACCCTAGCAATGCCTTAGCAACCATTTAGAACAACCTAGCAACCACCTAGCAACATTATAGCAATTGTCTAGCAACGCCTAGGAAACCACTAAGAACACCCTAGCAACCACCTAGCAATATCTTAGCAACCACATAAAACACCCTAGCAATGCCTTAGCAACTACTCAGAATACCCTAGCAACCAACTAACAACCACTCAGAATACCCAGCAACACCTTAACAATTACCTGGGACACCCTAACAACCGCCTAGCAATGCCTTAGCAATCGCCTAGTAACCACTCATAGCAACACCTTAGCAACTGCCAAGCAAGAAACATGCTGATCCATACTAGAAACATGCTGACATAAACAGTTTTCTTTCTATGCCAAGTGCTTTAAATTTCTTAAAAACTACTTCAATTATTTAAACTTTAAAACTACTTTAAACGTCCAGACTAAGGTTTCTCAAGCCTCCATAAAGTTTGTCAACAAACTTTACTTTTCTAGTTAGTATTTATTTTGTCTCCGCTGCATGAAAATATGCTGGAATAGTTGGCGGTTCTTTCCGCTGTGGTGATCTCTGATAAATCAGAGACTTAGCCAAATGAAAATGAACGAATGGATGAATTTACTCACTATTGCCATAGCATCTCAATTAGATTCAGCTCAGGACTTTGACTAGACCCTAGGTCATGTCTAATTTTTACAAACAAAAATAGTACTACAACTAATATATATATATATATAGTTTTTCATTTTTTTTTCATCTAAAATGTATCTAAATTAGACAAATTAATTTACTCCCCTTCAAGTGGTTCCAACCCTTTATTAGTGTCTTTATTCTGTTCAACACAAAAGACATTAGTTTGAAGAAAGCTGGAAACCTGTAACCATTGACTTCCATAACAAAAAACACAAATACTATGGAAGTCAATGGTTACAGGTTACAACAGAAGAAAGTCAAACAAATTTTCAACAAACGAAGGAATATTAAATTAAATTTTGAGTGAACTATCTCTTTAGCTGACCCATAAAAGCTAAAGCAAAATGGCATCTACCTCAACTAACAGCCATGCAGGCCATTTAAATAGAAACATTAGCATTATTTAAATGAGTATTGATGTGCAGCAGCTGAACAGTGCTGTAGTGTGTGATAACGGCTACTAACTGATCTCCAGATGTACACTTGCGTGGGCCTGATTACCAGTGTGCTTGATGTAAGTGGATTCTAAATCTGCTTTTCACGTTGGATGACTCTTGGAGACATTCAATGATTATATTTCATCTGTCCACTTTTGTGGAACAATATATGAGCTGATGTTGTATATTGTATACTTTACTGTCTCGGTATACATAGTATGTCAGCATACTATGTCAAGGAAATTTTCATTAGGAAATTTAATATGTGTGTGTGTGTGTGTGTTTGTGTGATGAACTGTTTTTCCTCATATTTAACCTGTTTGATGCTTTTCCTGTTATTGTCCTTCTTTATAAAACTACCTATTAATCTTTCCAATGGCATAAAACACTTGTTTCATATATATATATGACTTCAACAATAGATTCAACTAAAAATAATATATGATTTATCAAGATTTTATCCTTTGGGAATCGATCAGTTGATCACTTCAGCCAAAAACCATATAAAAATGTTTATTAAGAAATTATGCTTTGAATTAGTATTAACTTTACACTTCAAAAATATTATTAACAGTTTCCGTATTTTGTGTTTTCCATTTATTTACGGTTGTAAATTGCATTATGTGACGTTGACCTCTTCTCTGTAGACTTTTAATGTTGAAAATTCAACTAAATAGGCTAACAAAGTGACTTTTATTGGCATTTTAGTAGTTTGAAATAATGTAATGTCTAAGAAATAATTTCAGAGAAATCTATTAAAGAAATATATTTTTACAAATATATTACTATAACTACTTATATCACTTTAAACTATTAAAAATGTTAATAAAAGTCACTTCTTAAAACTTTTTAAGGTTAAAAGTTGTGGCAAGAAAGATCAAGGTCCCTGTCATGGTTACCAGCTATCCAGCCTGTGCAGATCACTGGTAAACACGCAAATCGCAACGAACTACAAATCCGCCAGTATATGGACTACAAGATCCAGTCATGCAACGCTCACACGCATTTGTTCCAGATTCCACTGATTGCCAACACACTCACAGCTGGAGGATTGTCAAAAACTGGTTTGTAGTCTGTTGTGATTTGGGTGTTTACCTGCGATTTGCACAAGCTGGATCGCTGGTGACCCGTAATGGCATTCATATGCATAAATAAACAAGGAATAAATATAAACATGAAAATATGAAATACGGAAAACTGCAAAGTTCCCTTTTTTTTTCAGTTTCAGACGTAATAATTTATTTATTTATTTAATGAACTTATGATTCTTCATTAAGTCTTTATATGAACATTTTACAGCATTAAAGTTTTTTTAAATTTTGCATATTAGCATGAATGCATTAAGAATGAAGAAACATTCAAAATGTACAGTTGAAGTCAGAATTATTAGCCCCCATTTCCATTTTTTTTTTCTTTTTAAATTTTTTTCCCAAATGATGTTTAACCGCAAGGAAGCAAGGAACTTTTTACAGTGTGTGTGATAATATTTTTTCTTCTGAAGAAAGTCTTATTTTTTTATTTTAGCTAGAATAAAAGCAGTTTTAAATTTTTTAAAAACCATTTTAGGGTCAAAATTATTAGCATCTTTAAGCATTTTTTTTTGATAGTCTACAGAACAAACCATCATTATACAATAACTTGCCTAATTACCCTAGCCTGCCTAGTTAACCTAAATAACCTAGTTAAGTATTTAAATGTCACTTTAAGCTGTATAGAAGTGTCTTGAAAAATATCTAGTCAAATATTAATTACTGTCATCATGGCAAAGAGAAAATAAATCAGTTATTAGATATGAGTTATGAAAACTATTATGTTTAGAAATGGGTTAAAACAATCTTCTCTCCGTTAAACAGAAATTGGAGGACAAAATAAATAAATAAATAAATAAATAAACAGGGGGGCTAATAATTCTAACTTCAATGTATATATAATTTATGAATTTACATTAAACTAATAAATACTGCAAACAATTATCATGTTAGCTTATGAAAAATAGTGAATGTAATATTATTGTAGTATAATTTTTTTTAAACAAATTTTGATTATATTTTTAACAAAACTTTTTTTAGGTTTAATTTATCTTAGCCTTTTGCATTGGTTTTAGTATTACTCATTTTGAACATTTTTAGTAGGGTGTCTTATTCATTTTATTTTTTTATTAGGTGTTATTATTGTTACCTTGGTTTATCTTCAACAATTTAGTACTTTAAAAATCTATACAAGCAAGAAATTAAAAACTATTTGTAATTTTTGTCTACTTAAAGTAATTCAACAACAGAAGTTAAGCCAACACTAACACTTGTTTCTCCAGACAGCTTGAATGTATCAAAAGCGCTTTATTAATCTGTGAGGATCAGTCGGCTTGTCAACCTTTCTAAACCCTCTCTTATTCATTCCTCTGCCTCTCTGACCCTTGACCCTCCCTTTACCCTGTGTGTTTAACCCTTGACCTCTGACCTGTGGTGACGGCAGACAAAGCGGCAGTGTGTCACTGCTGAACAGTCCACCATCTTTATGCTCTCCCAGACCTCCAGCAGTGTCAGTTTTTAAACTGAGCCGGAGGTGAACTCTCTCTCTGCATGCGTGTGTGTGTCTGTGTGTGTTCGTAATCCGTCAACACACAACAGGGTCATTAATAGCTGCTATTCCACTGTCAGACCAGTGCAAACCCAGGGCTTACTCTGGGGTGATTGGGGCCAACAGTCATTCAGCAAGGCCAAAATCATGCTGTGTTTCCACTGTTGGACCAGTCGCACCTCTAAAAACTGCCATTAACACACTTTAGTGGAACAAAGTCATTCATCAGCAGGGAAAATGAAAGGAAACATAACAAAACAGACATAAATGTTTGGTCTTCAGCATCAACAAAGCATATGACTGGTCATTTACGATAATACCAGTAATTTGTGACAGTAGTGCAGCTCAGACAAACACACATGAAAAAATGTGTTGCTGCCTTCGCTTTCTAAGTCTCATCTCATGATCTTGGATCTCATGATTTTATGTTTAGACCGAATGAGCACAGTTTTGTTTATTCTAACCATGAAATTATTCTCAGAGGTTTTTGTCACTTTATATTGTTGTATCATTTTATACTATCATTATTATTTAAGTGAAAGCAACAGAAGGGGCTTGCTCACTAAAAACTAAACTGTAAAATTCATGTATTTGATTTCTCATTAAAAAAAAGTGAGTAAATCTATTGCTTTTGAAGTGATTAATTGACTTTAAAAAGTGAGTATACCCATTGCTTTTAAAGTGACAGGTGAGTAAATCAGTTACTTTTAAAGTGATAAGTTAACTTTACTTAATAAATTGAGTAAACACATTGCTTTAAAAGTGATTAGTTGACTTTAAAAAGCGAGTATACCCATTGCTTTTAAAGTGACAAGTTGACTTTACTTAATAAATTGAGTAAACCCATTGGTTTTAAAGCAATAAGTTGACTTTACTTAATAAATTGAGTAAACTCATTGCTTTTAAAGTGATTAGTTGACTTAAAAAGTGAGTAAACCAGTTACTTTTAAAGTGATTTGTTGACGTTCCGTTAAAAAGTAAGTATACCCATTGCTTTTAAAGTGATTAGTTGACTTAAAAAGTGAGTAAACCAATTGCTTTTAAAGTGACATGTTGATTTTACTTTAAAAAGAAAGTAAACCCATTGCTTTTAAAGTGATTAATTGACTTTAAAAAGTGAGTATACTCATTGCTTTTAAAGTGATTAGTTGACTTTCTTTAAAGTGAGTAAACCAGTTACTTTTAAAGTGATAAGTTGACTTTTCTTTAAAAAGTAAGTATACCCATTGCTTTTAAAGTGATTAGTTCACTTCAAAAGTGAGTAAACCAGCTGCTTTTAAAGTGATAAGTTGACTTTATGTAAAAAAATGAGTAAGCCCATTGCTTTTAAAGTGACAAATTGACTTTCCTTAATAAATTGAGAAAACCAGTTGCTTTTAAAGTGATTAGTTGACTTTACTTGAAAGTAAGCCCATTGCTTTTAAAGTAATACATTGACTTTCCTTTAAAAAGTAAGTAAACCCATTGCTTTTAAAGTGATTAGCTGCCTTTACCAAAAAATGAGTGAGCCTGTTGCTTTTAATTAGTTTTCTAATTAACTCTTTCTGAATGCTTAAGTTCCATATCAACAAAGGCATAGGGAAGATACAGATTTAAAAAAGCAACCAAATAAATACAGGATTACAGTCATATTTGATTTGTTTAAGTTCAAGTAGTATTTTCAAATGCATAGTATGCAATTATTATAGCAAGTGTTAGCATAAGTAGCCTTTAGCATCGCACATCATTATAGTTCTCCCTCATGGTTATTAGAATCAATATCATATTACAATCCGGAGATTCTTTAGACCTAATGTTTGAAAGGAAACTGAACTCTTTTTAAATGGATCAAATGTTGCTGTTAGCTGCTAGCTAATTTGAAAACATGAGGAATTACCTGTGCTACCAACCACATGAGGCCCAAGACTAGGTCTGACAAGTAGAAACTAGTATGCCAATAACACCGGCTCGAGAACCCTGTGGTGTCTCCGTCATCTTCAAGTCTTCTATAACCTCACCGCATGCATGAAATGTGCATGTTTCTATTTGTAATGTATGTTGCAGATCTGAAGTTGTGTAATTGCAAATGCATTTTCTGCTGCTTTACTTTCTGTTCCAGCAAGTCAAAACATTGATCTGCGATGCCACAACTGAGTCTGTTTGTGTGTGTGATGTTTCACAGAGAATGAGGGCTGAAAGGATCTTTGACAGGGTTGAGACAAACATTCATGATTCTCTGCTAGATGGGGTTCAGAGCACCACTGAAGCCTAGCAGCCCGATGGTAAAACACTAAAGACTAAAGCCAGAAAGAACTAATCCACACTCCGCTCATAAATGCAGCTCTGGACTTCTCAGAGTCATTCTGAGAAGTCTAGAGTCATGCTAATTGGCTTCAACCAATGAAAAAGAGCTGGATTTAACGTCTTCGGTGCATCCGTGTGGGTCTGGTGTTTGGTGTGAAACCTACAGACTGGTTTGGGTTGGTTTTGAAGCTTTAGAATAAAAAGATTGGGTTGTGGTTTGAGGTGTGTGCTGTGATGTATATGCAGCTAAGAGAATATGGGACTGTGGGCTCTTACATACACAAATACAGCCAGCAGACTTGACATACCGTTTAACGTCTAACTCCCATACATGCATGAGTATTTATTTATTTTTTTGCTTTTCTTGTTGTTATATTGTTTTAAAGTGTGTGATAATGTTGCCATTTATGTCTAAATGTCCATTCCTAGAACATGCTTATGATCAGTTCTGTTACTGAGTGAACCGCACAACATCTATAAACAACTTGAAATGATTATGCTGGATTGTAAACTTAAAGGAAAGGAGCAAGAAATTGTTTTATAGTTTTAAAAATGTCTCTTAAATGTTTTGAATTGCCAATTTCGCCAATCAATAAATCAATGAATGAATGAATGAATCAATCCATCAATCAATCCATTCATCAATCCATCAATCTATCAATCAATCTATCCACCAATCAATCAATCGGCCAATCAATCAATCAGCCAACCAATCAATCCATTGATCAATCCATTAATCTATCCATCAGTCAATCAATCAGTCAATTAATCAATGAATGAATCAATCAATCAATACACCCATAAATCCATCAGTCAATCTATTAATCAATCAAATAATCTTATCAATCTATCCATCAATCAATCCATCAATCTATCTATCAATCAATCCATCAATTGATCAATCAGCGCATCAATCAATCCATCAATCTATCCATCCATCCATCGATTCATCCATCCATCCATCAATCAATCCGTTAATCAATCCGTTTATCGATCAATCAATCAATTGGCCAATCAATCAGTCAACCAATTGACCAATCAATAAGTCAATCGTTACCATATAAAAAAATACACTCAAAATGTTTTGATGCTTTATAGTATTTAAAAATTTGGAAACGGAATCCACTTAATTAAATCTTGATATAAACTATTGGTTTAAAGGTTTAAAGCAAATGAAATTTATTTTTCAGTCAGTATCAGTTTATTTTATCAGCTGATATATTGCTGATATAGTGTTTATTCCATTTAAAAATAATGAATTAGTCATAATTTATTATTATTATTATTGCTTTTTGCAAATTTTCGCTCTGCAGTTTTTCATGTAACAGATCCTCAATCGATCAGTTAACATCTTCTAGGCCTGGACTTGTGCATGTGGTAAACTCTGGATATGTGATTTCATATTAAGTTTATTTTATGCTTATTTTTACACCGCTTCTTGCTGGGGCATTGGATTTGTGTTGTTTTAGCTTGTGCTGTGATAAATTTGTATTCCCATGCCTATACATGACGCAGTCTGCTAACTCACCATCTCCCTCTGTTCTCCAGAATGCAGATAAGTTATATAAGGGCCACCTGTCGGAGTTCTCCCCGCTGACCTCCCTCCATGCTCCACCTGCGCGGAAACACGAAAGACGTGGCAACGAAAGCCAGAACCACGCCCACCGCAGGTCTGACTCCTCCCCTACCAAAAAACTCATGTGTACCTACTGGGGGGGCAAGCCTGACTACTGCACCTTCAGCTCCTTCCTCCGCATAGGAGAAAACCCACGATTCTCTGGGGCAGCTTTTGCTTATTCTGCTCCGGGGCCCGAGACGTCTGTATGATAAACAAATAGTCTAATTATTCAATCAAAATCGGCCTCGATTATACCAATATTGGTCTCCTAATCTTGACTTGTTACCCTTTATTTAAAAAAAAAGAAAACACTGACATGCGTTTCTATCCACTTGTTTTGTTGTTTGCATGTGGAATACCAACACAATCTCACAGCAATTAGTAACTTTTTGATTTAGTGGCTAATTTGAATGAATTCGTACAATCTCAGTCGTACAATTTAGTATAATTTGCTTATCGCCCTATGACGATTGGGTTTAGGGGCGGGGTTGGGTTGGGTGCCATGCCTCCTTGTTAAAATCGTACATTTTTGTATGATTGAACTTGTAAGAAATTAATACAAATTAGCCACTCAATTGACAAAACGTAAAATAGTTACTTTTGTTTGTGAGATCAGCCTGGGAATATTGTTTCCGGGTCCAGGCTTCAATTCATTTTATTTGTCAATTTATCTCAAATCTCAATATTCGTTTGGTTAAATTATTTTTTTTCAATGTTATGGTTTACTGTAGTTGCTGCATCCCAGATATCAATATTTGAACGATTTATAAAAGATGAATCATTCCACCTGAAATTAGGCACGGATATAAACATTTATGCTTATGATTTTCAATAGTATTACAGCACACTGTGAGCATACAGTGGGGGAAATAAGTATTGCAAATGTCACCATTTTTCTCAGAAAACATATTTCTTAACTTGAAATTTTCACATCATTGATTGATGTTGGTTACAACCAAATAAATCCATAAATGCAAAGAAAACAATATTAATTAGTTTACAAATTAAGTTAAGTGTAATAAAATTAAATGACGCAGGGAAAAAGTATTGAACACATAAAGAAAGGGAGCTGTAGACAGGCAGAGAAAGCCCAGACAGCAGTTAAAATCTCTCAGTAGTTCTTCAGCAACCCTCTGCCCTTCATCATTGTAAATGAATATTAGCTGCTTCAGTAATCTACACCTGTACATTAGCAGGATGATAAAGATGAAACCAGGGTGGACATTTCAGCAAGACAATGATCCAAAACACAGCCAAGGAAACTTTAAAAGTTTTTCAGAGAAAGAAAATCAAGCTGTAGAATGGCCCAGCCAATCACCTGACTTGAATCCAATATAGAATCCAAAATAAAGATCAGATTTGTCACACAAAACCCACAGAACTATTAAAAGTTCTACACTCTGTTGAAGTTTGTGAGAGGCTTCTGTAAGCTGCCATCAGCAAAAAAGGTCTTTTATAAAAATATTAAATACGTTTCAGTAGTCCAGAACTTTCATTACATTGTTATTACACAAAAAAAATTGTCAGATTTTTTAAATTTTTGTTTTGTTTTCTTATATTTTTGTGTTTGTATTGTTTGGGTTTTTACCAAAATCTGGTTCAATTTCATGTCAACAGCTCCTTTAGAACATTTTTACCAGAAAAAAAAAAAACATGACATGTTGAATACGTATTTCCCCCACTGCATTAGTACCGTTTGTTGCAGATATAAGTTTTGGATCCGGAAACACTTGTTAAACACTAACAAGTGGATAGTGTACGCACTATCAGTGATTTTGTGATCTGGAGGAAGGCTAAACAGTACTGCGCTAAGCGGCCTTGGGACCCATTTACCTTGTTTTCTTGGTGTGTATGTTTAAACGTGAGAGCGTGTTCCCTTTACACTGTGGGTTTATGTGTTCACTCACCTACCCTTGTATAAAAAAATACTTGAAAAACCACACTGGGCAGTAGTAGCACAAATCTCAAATCTCAACCCCCTAGCACTGAATATGAATGTGGATGACAGTTAAAATGGCTGCTCTGAAAACTGACCGTCCTCTTTTCTTTGTTCTTCTTTTCTTTGTTCTCTGTCGTCTCTCCTTCCCTTTTTTATCCCGTGCTCCTTCTCTTTTCTTGTCCTACTTTTTTTATAGAACAAACTGGTGTTGCCTTTGTGCAAACCTATTATCAAGAAACACTCCGTAGGCTTCGATTGTCTTTGTCTGAATGCATTGTAAGTGGCTACACTTGGCCATTTCTGCTGCTAGAGCAAACTGGGAGTGTGTGTCTGTGTGTGTGTGTGTGTAGGCCTTTGTTAGACAACTACAAGAAGACAAATTGTAACTGGACTGTCATTATGTTTCACCCTTTAACTTTCAAAAAAATCTATATTCTACTATCTGCTATTCCAAAGTTTTTAAAAAACCATTGACGTCGTGTCATCATGACAACCAGTTACTCTTTTCTAGCTGCTTGACCATTTGCTTTAACGTTGGATCGTTCCCTATATATAGTTTTTGTAGTGTAGAATCAGACACAGGATGCTAAAGGCTGCGCTAGCCACCTTAGCGAAACTGTTCTGCCTTAATGCTAATGTTTCCCATCTTTTACACCACAGTTTGGAACCAAAGGTTGTAAAATAGGGAGTGTATAAATGTGCATTAGTTGCCTTATGCTCAAAGAGAGAAAGTGTTTGACGGCATTAGAAGATTCCCACCACACTGCCTTAAGTTGACATTGCACCAGCTGAGGATGGAGTTATGTGGAGAAATGTAGTATTCGTCATCTTCCTGTGCCACCAACTCAGCCCAGGGCTCCTGAGGTTTGAAAAAACACTGAATGAAATGTCACATGTGTTGGTCCAAAAATTATCTCTGTCAGCGTATTTTTATGATTGTAACGTCTTATTTGCCTTTTGTCTGTATTAATGTATCTGTTGGAGCCCTGTGCTGGGTTGCTCTCATCTCGGTGTTGAACATTACTGATTATCTGATAAATGAGGCACATGTTATTAGCATGTGCTACTTTTCACAAACAACTTATTAATCTAACATCCTTATTAAGGTCAGCATCACAGATGGCCTGTCCTTACTGATGAGAAAGACTCCTTTCTAGTGTCCTGGACACAGAAAATAAGCCGTTTTAAAGGAATTCTAGGAAATGTGCCTCATACATGTGGACTCTCTTGTTTAATGTAACATTCTCATAATCATTCAATTCCATATTCATCCAATACACTGTGTGAATATGAATTCACATTGATTTGAGCTTAATTTGAATTGGAATGGTGTGAATGCAGTTGAGTTCACACTTGTAGTTTGATTCCTTTGGTTCTGACCAAAATATAAATAAATAAATAAATAAATAAAGCTTATGCCAAGGTTAGACTGCATGCTTTTAGCGCTGGTTTTGATTCAAATCATGCTGTGTGAAATGTGTTCTGATTGAAAATAACATTCGCGATCACCTACAGCCAATGAGAGAGCAGCATTCACTAGTACACTAATCAGGTTGAGAAGTTAAAAAAAAAGTCGAGGAGAGATTGCTAATTCTCAAAAGCCAGGTGAGCAACACAAGTTTCTAAAGCTAAAGCTATTTTTCCATTATGTATTTAATAACAAAAGATATATTATGTGACCTTGCGTTGTTTCCATGTCACTTCTTGCGTTTGTTTGGTTGTGAGACGTAGTTTGGACAAAGTTGTCTGTGATTCTTCCTGTTTTAAAGTCATGCAAGTGTGAACTCTCCTGTCGCCGATCCATCCTACAGTGTAAACACAGCACTGACAGAACGTTAACCCAGATAGTCATGCAGTGTGAAAACATCCGTGACACGACTACTTTGAAAATCATGCAGTCTGAACTCGGCATTAGGGTGCTTTCGAACTAGCACTTTTGGTCCGCACCCCTGTTTGTTTGACGGCAGTGTACGTTTAGCTAGTGTGAACAATATTTTCTGAACTGGGGTGCACACCCCTGAACGATACCAGAGTCCACCTGCACCTCTTATATGTATGCAATCGTACCAAATGACTGAAGTTACCCGCCAAATGTACAACAGACTTTAGTTTTCATAACGTTCATTCTTGTGTGTATGTCTGTGTGTAAACTACCTGGGCGACAAGTTGGACTGACCCAGTGCAAACAGTGATAATGTCTGCTTGACTCCACCAAAAGCGACTTTTGTTTTACTTTTTTTTTTTTGCGGCAGATAGACACAAACGTCTCTCTGTATTTTTGTTTTGGTAACAAAAGCAAAAGATTCAGTTAAAGCTGAATGACCATGATATGCATATGTCTCCATTTTGCCTCTTTGCTTTCGTGGCCGTCAGCCAGCAACAGCTGTACAAAAAAACAGCAGCTTGATGACACAAGCGTAGCGGGGTTCAGAAGGAAAAAAAGACAGTGTGAACACAAATTAGCCGAGAAGGTGGCAAGGGGGGACAATCAAATTTGGGTTTGGTCCAGGCCAATGTAACCAAGTGTGAAAGCTCCCTAAACCAATTCTAGGAAATGTTCCTGGTGACTCGTCTGTTTCATGAAACATTCAACTCCATATTCATCCAATACTCTGTGAATATGAATTCACATTGATTTGAGTTCAGTTTGAATTGGAATACGGTGTGAATGCAGTTCAGTTTAATGTTGTGTACTTATACTACGTCCTAAAAGAGAGCATGGACGGTTCTTCACTTCGAATTTTTACTGGGAATAGTACACCATCTAGGAACCTTTAGCATACTTTTTTCCAACATATTACAGTTTGGGACATACAATGCTAATTTTATTTTCAAATACTATTTAGGATAGATTGTATGCAAAATGGGATGAAGCATAAGTGTGTTTTCACATTTGTAGTTTGATTCTTTGGTTCAGACCCAAAAAAAGAAAATGATTCATTTAGTCTTGGCTCACTTAGTGTTCACACTGTCAATTTTAGGCCTGAATATAATGAGTGGTATGGTTCAGTACAGTACAGTACAGTACTATTTGCTATGAAAATCCCTGATCAGGCTTAAATTTCTACTGCCAACAGTATCTTTACTTAGTAGCTAGGCAGAAAAAAGCTATCAAGTCTTGCCTGAAGAAGAAAGCTATAAGGGGCCATTCAAGTGTAGTGTGTTTTGCAAGCTCAAGTTCGTTATTTCCAAAGTAAAAGTGCCACAAGTGCTCGCAAGTACTCAAATTAGGCGGCGAAAGTTGCGCTTTTCACACATTTAAGATGCAACATGTGAATGGTAATCAACCCTGGCTTTTTAAACGTGCTGGTGACAATTTTCTGTAAACCAATCAGGAATCAGTAGAGAGTCTAGCTCCACCCTTTTTGTAACATATTCTGTTGTGCTAGCCACCCATATGAAAGGGTGCCAAAAAAGTGGTAGAGTACAGTTGACTATTTTGGTACTTCTGACAGTAGAATCGAACAAAAATTTTACTGTACCAAAGTGTTAATGACCCATAAAGACATAAAACAAATGGCCTTATAATATATATTTTTTAAAATATTACTGAACATTTAAAATGCGTATAAATTTACGTCAAATCAGGTTCAGGAAATTTCTCGTCAAACAAAAATGCAGATCTATGGCAAAGAGAAAGCATTTCTGCGGCCTGTATTTAACTCTATTCGACGATTCTGTTCATTTTAGAGTCGCCTCTTGAGAGCTGACATACTGCTTTTGGCTTGCTTAGATGTCTTTGGTCCAAGTTGCGTTCATACTTGAGTTCCACTGCATCCCAGACCTAATGATCACATCAAGTGTGAACACATCCTTAATTCCAGTCACATTTGACCTCAATTGAAATGAATATGGAAATGAATGAACTAACAATCATCTGCACAGACTCTTTCCCTGCTTTCCTTCACATTCCAAACCTGTTTCTTTCTTCTCCCATTTTTTTGTTTCGCCTCACGCCGACTCCGGATTGTAGTGTTGTGTTTCCGGAGCATCATCATCTCGACTCCTTTCCTCGCATGCATTTCCTTCACTGTCATTCAGTTGTCACGATGAGACCTGTTGCTCATTTCACCATTTTAACCATCATCCATGACATGAAAGAGAGAGAGAGAGAGAGAGAGTAGGTGATGTCAAAGTCCATCAAGACCAGCGTTTTTGATGGTTACTACAAGCTTCTCGTGGGTAGGTGCCTTCTGGTGCTTTTTAACCTCAATGTATGTTCATGCGTTCAATCCAGTGAAGCGTTGAATTCTGGGAAACACGTGCATGTGTTTGCATTGCCCGACATCTCGGCCTGCAACAGAGAATGTCAGAATTATGGCTAGTTTGTTGTAAGTATAATGGTCATTTTTGGGAGGGGGTTAACGTTGATTAAATGTCACAGATTAATAATATTAATAATAACAGAATGTCCTTTTTCATGCACACATTATATCTGAATATAGATTATATATACATAGATGAGTTTATTGATGTCAAGGTTTACAAAGGCTGCGAGTGAATGAATGAATGACCTAACGTGACGACTGATCAACTCTGTTTCCGGTCCAAAAGTGTATCATTTGGTTTGTATGAATGTAAACTCTGTGCAAAGTCACTGTTTTATTGAGTACTGAGGTCTGAACTTTGCATGCCATGTGATGGACCAACCACTGAGCTTTATATTTTCATTTCTATGTATAAACCACATCTGTGCTCATTTCCAGTCCAATCCAGTCCAAGCGATGCACATCTACAATACCGAGTACTAAATAATAATAATCAATGCTGGCAAATCTAAAACACAAAAAGAATGTGCTTATTTATAGATTCTCGACCTAATATGGTATGTTTGTCTTTTTCATTTCACATTATACTATATTGTTCACTGTTACAGTTCTATCTGGCTTCCTGAATGTAAAGAAAATAGCAGATAACCACAAATCACAACTACAAGGTGGTTCTAGAACAAATGTCCCTTCACAAATGTGTTTTGGTTCTCGTTTCTGACTGTCGTTTCAAATCGGAACTATTTTTTTGTAACGTAGTAATACTTTTGCTCACTGAACGCTGTCTGCCTCAGGGGTGCGTTCAGGCACTGGCGAACACTGTATTCTGTCTGTCTAAAGATTAAAACAAAAAAAAGGCTATATGAAATAGGTATTTTGTATATCTTGTGATGAGAAAAATATGTCTTTTTGCTACTTTTGTATCTAGAGGATGAAGAAAACTACTTACTGTTACAGAGTCAGAATGTCACTGTTCCGCTTTTACAACCAAATGTAAGGCCGTGGGAGAAATTTGACTTCAGTAAAGATGGAAGTAAAGAAAAAATAGCTTTAACAGACTGCTTTTTGTTTGTTTATTTCAATGGAGATGTTTTTTTTAAGATGTCGCGCATAGTCAGTCGATGCTCACACTGATGCTGCGTCCCAATTCGCATAGTCTACGCCCTAAAAGTAGGCTACTTTTGAGTGTGTAACAGAAGAGTTTGCAAGCTTTGGGACATACTACGTCCTCGTTAACAGATCGTTATGTTGCTCAGTTATAAGCCCTGTCAATCATCCACATTTCTGTCATATTTAATTTCCTATTTTACTGGAGAAGCAGCAGCAGAATAATCTCCCATTCAAGAGTCTTTCTTGCAGAGAAATCTCCTCAGGTGTTTGGATAATTCTGCATACAGACTTTAATGTCCAAACACATCCTTATATAAGTTCAGTATTGTTGTTACAGATAAAATGTAACACCGATTTAAATATTTTCCAGTGTCCAAGAAATTAGCTAACAGTCATACAAACATCTTTACCGAAGCCGCTCTACTTGACGGTTGGTCTCGCGCGTCCACCATGTTTGTAGTTTATTTACGCTTTTCACCCGCGTTTGTAGTTCTAATCGAATTCACGAACATGTACTGTGGGAAATATCAGTGGTTAGAGTATGGACGCTTCTACACTTATTTTTTTCTTTCTAGAAATCATCCGGGAAGCTTTGGCATACTCTTTTTTTTTTAACATTCTTCGATTTGGGACATATTAATTCAATTTTCAAATACTATTTAGGATGGATAGTATGCGAATTGGGACGCAGGATGACTGTAGGAAGATGAAATACACTCACTGTTTTTAATGCAGGTGTGACCAAATATTGATTTCGATGTCTATTGCTGTAACTGAAGGCTTTACAGCCTGTAGTGGGGCTTAATCTGTGCCAGCCTATTCAGATTAACTAAATATCTACTGCTTTTTTCTGTTTGTTTGTTTTATCTGCACAAAACGTGATGTTGCTCATAAATTTATTAAATATATATATAGTATATATTATATATATACTTACAGTATATATATGTATACTACTGTACACAGCATATATGTAGTAATATTCATGTACAGTTTGGGCTCTTTTTGTATAAAGTTTTTAAAAGATTGATATCTGTAGATATGTGGATTTTGCCGGTTTTTTCTGTAGCTATTAACAGCAAGAAAAGTACATTTGCTTGTAATAAAGAAAGATTTAAATGTTTGAGAGCCTTGTGCATTTTTCTCTTGTTTATTTCTTTAGCACTTAAACAATGTAGATTGTGTCAAAGTAGCTTAATTTAGAAGATTATAGTCAATTGAAACTGTGTCAGTTCACTTTTCAAAGATGAAGTTCAGTTTAGTTCAGTTCACTTTGGTTTAATTTTCACTGCTGAAAGTCCAAAGACTACGAGCAAATCTATTGATGAGCAGCTCTACAAGTCCCAATCCAAGCAAGCCAGTGGTGACAGCAGTGAAGAACAAACTTCACCAATTGACGAAAGTGAAGGAAATAACCTCAAGAGAAACCAGGCTCAGTTGGGCACGACCATTTCTCCTCTGGCCATACTTCTTGTGCAGAGCTGCAGTCTAGGCGCCGGAGGCCGAAGAGCGCTGGACGTCCATCATCGAGAAGCTGCAGGTGTGAGAGGTCTGGTGAACAGGCTGACCCTTCAGGATCAATGCGAAGAAGACTCATCTGTCTAACACAATCTCACGGCAATTCGTAACTTTTTGATTTAGTGGCTAATTCATATGAATTCGTATGATCTAATTCGTACAATTTAGTACGACTTGCTTATCCCCCAATGACGGTTGGGTTTAGGGGCGGGGTTAGGTGCCACGCCTCCTTTTTAAAATCGTACAATTTCGTATGACTGAACTCGTATGAATTCATACAAATTAGCCACTAAACTGGCAAAAGGTAAAGTACTTACGTTTTCTCGTGAGATCAGGCTGCATCTGTCACTGGGGTCTTACAGGAATCATGCTCTTCACTCCTCCATGACCACTGCAGCAGCAGCAGGATACGGCCTGGTCCAGGATAATGAAAACACAGAGAAAAGTTAAAAATTAAACAGACTAACAAAAGCACAGATGCCATTCAAATTATAATGTCTTTTGCAAACTGTTCCTGGCTCCAGTTGCCCTAAATAATGCAGACTTTACACTAGAGGATTTAAAGCAGAGATGCTCAAAACTACACTGTAAAAATATATATTTTACAGGTTTTTTTTTCTAGCAGCTAGGGTGCTGAAAAAACCTTAAAACAATGGCTGTTAAATTACAGAAATTGACCGTAAATTAACAGACATTAAATTACAGAAATTTATCGTTAAAAAAAACAGCCGATAAATTACAGAAATTTACTGTAAAATAACAAACGTTTAATTACAGAAATGTATCATAAAATAACAACTGTTAAATTACAGAAATTTCCTGTAAATTAACAGACATTAAATACCAGAAATTTATTGTAAAACAGCAGACGTTAAATTACAGAAATGTATTTTATAATAGCAGACGTTAAATTACAGACATTTATTGTAAAATAGCAGATGTTAAATTACAGAAATTTATTGTAAAATAACAGACGTAAAATTACAGAAATTTCTCATAAATTAACAGACGTAAAATTACAGAAATTTCTCATAAATTAACAGACGTAAAATTACAGAAATTTCTCATAAATTAACAGACGTAAAATTACAGAAATTTCTCATAAATTAACAGACGTAAAATTACAGAAATTTCTCATAAATTAACAGATGTAGAATTACAGAAATTTATTGTAAAATAACAGTTGTTAAATTAAGAAATTTACCATAAAATAACAGCTTTTAAATTACAGAACTTTACCAAAATTTTAAATTCATGAAAATTTCTGTTATTTAATGTTTATTATTCTACAGTAGATTTCCATAATATAACATCCATAATTTTACAGTGTAGGGCTCGCAGGCCAAAGCTGGCCCATGGTAACCTTTGATTTGGCCCGCCATCCTATCTGAGAAGAGGAGAATGAGGGGGATTGTTTAGATTGTCAATTGAAATTTAATGCAATCGTTTGTTTGTTTCTTTGTTTGTTTGTTTGTTTGTTTTATTGTTAAAAGATAGCTGAAATTAAATGCTTTAATTGAATGGTGCAAATTAATCAGACTTTGTTGAAATGTACATACTGTCACCCGGCAATGCAGAGACTTTGGTGAGCAAATCAAGTCAAAGACAGATTCTGCTTGACTATTCAGCATTGAACTCCACAGTGTTATAAATGTGATTGTTTGCTTTTATTGCAATATGTTATCATTTCAAAAGTTTTACTGCATTAATTAATACCATTTCAAGTAGTGTTTTCATTTTATTTTGAAATAAATTAGGAAATTACACATGGCAACTTTAATGTAATATAGTTTGTGTATTTACCTTCGGCCCGCGGCTCTTGGTATTATTTGGTTTTTGGCTCTTCATACTAAAACGTTTGGGCAACCCTGGTTTAAAGCAAGAAAAGCCGAGGGCACTGCATGTGTAACTATTAATTATGGCCACCAGGTGGAAGCAAAAGGCAACATATTGAAGCGGCTTGAACAATTCACTTTTACTGCACTAAATAGGCTACTAGATTTAGTTTCAACCCGGTGAATTAATATTTTTGGCACAAACATGCATTCACAATATTAACCAATGACCGTTATAATGGTGGTCAAATATATATTGAAGTTATCTATTATTTAAATGATTAATATATAAGCACAGTATTTCTTAACTATTAAAGGGCAGACCCCCATATATTTTTTTGATGTTCTTCAGGGCGATCATGCCTAAACTAGGCTGGTTAGATCCCCCCAAACCCCCCTGTAATTCACACCCAGCATATTATTAACTGTTGTGAAAAAAGTAACAGCACATTTTCTGCCACTCTTTAGCAGTAATCAATAATATACGCAAAAACTAATTGCATATGAAAAGGTTACATGTCACATTTACCTGTGAATGGTGTGCTTAAATGGACAGTTAATCCAAAACTTGTCATGATTTTGCCAAATGCAATCCTGAATTAACATCTATGTTGATCCTGGAACATCATACCTGTTGAAAAATGTAAACCATATCTATTCACCACCCCTAAACCCAACCATATCTGTGAATTACTCACAAAATCAGAGGGTAATATTAGTTTGATAACAATCATAGAAGTGCATAAACCTAACCGTAAGCCTAAACTGTAAACATATCCCTTAATTCTGATTGGCTGATTGGAATGTTGTTCCAGGATCAACATGTTAATACAGGGACATTTCCTACTTGGTGAAATCTTGGAAACCATAGCTACCACTGACTTGTGTAGTATTTTTTTCAACACACACACACATATATATATATATGCAAACATTTTTTATAGCATTGTCTTTACAAAACCCATCCAGTTAATTGCAGCGCACATTTTGATTTGCCTTTTAGTCAAGCGTGAGTTTGCCATGCTGTTTTCACTTTGCACTTCATGTTTCTGCGCGTTTCACTTTGTGGCCCTGATTTGACAAGAGGGCAGAGTCAAGGGAACTTGTGTGTTTATGGCAGGCCCACAAACATATATACATTAGATGTCACCTACCCTGCTGTTGTCTATTGGAAGGAATGCGTCAATAGAGCCGCCATTTTTGTACAGGGTAGCGCTCCTTGATGAATGCGGGACCAAGCTGCAGTGGAGGACTGTGGCCATTCAGAGCAAGAAAATTACACATATACAAATATATCTATGATCGGGAGTTTTCCCGAAGGTCAGTATGCATTTTTTTAAATTACGAAAATTATCATTTCACATCACTTTTCTACATTGATTGATAAGTGATCGCACAGGCATTCCTGACAAAAAGCTTGTGTTTGTGTGTATGGAAATGTACTCTACTATCCACACTTCCTGTTAAATATGATCTAATCATGTAGGGAAACACACCTCCTCTCCTGTTTTCACTTTTCATTCTGATGGAGAGAGCGATTAGTTTGTGAATAAATCTCCGTTATGAGCGACTCCATCAATAGCAGACTATA